TCAAAATCACGATGCCTTCAATCCGTGAGGGCCTGGACCCGCCATGGTCATTTCCACAATGACCCGGGTTGTCTGAGCTTCGCATCGTGCATGAGATTTGACCGCGACGTATCGCAGGTCTCACAGGTGTGCGAACATAAGCTGTGATGTGAATTTTGTGACGTGCAGGCCAACCGCACTATCGCACGCACACAGTGCTTGTCATCTACTAATCTAGCACCCTCTTCGCGACACGGCTGTTGACTGCTCTCTCCAGAGACTGCGCGCTTATCTCTGGGATGGTTTGTTTTTCCATCTAGAGCTCTGCAATGGTCGTTGTGAGGCTGATTGAGCCCTTGTCGGATATACCAGCCTTGACTCTTTCTGTCCTTTGTCTATTAGATGGTCTATTGACATGGATATATAAGTAGGAGGATGATAAGGTAGGCTGGTGTCTCTTGTCGCAAAGCGGCACTATCTCGACTCTGCTCTTTTTCCATCAAGCACTGGAAGACTTAATCGAAATCACGGAGCTGTCGCCCCTTTCCAACCAGAAGTCCACGGAAATCTGCTGTACGAGTATACTTGTCGTCCTTAATTTTTCTGTTGTGAAAACCTCGACGGAATTGGAACCGTTCAATATGCCTGAGTAAGCTCCTGACTTGCCCTCATGATTCGGCGATATTGCATACGATGGACAAATTGTTTGATGACCCAGAATCCATGCACCTCTTCAGTACTAGCAAATCAAAGTCACCCTCCGTGCATTCTGAACCGTCGATGGCGACTACAGGCAATGACCATAGTGCTTCATCATCACAGAAGACTAGGAACGACGAAATGATTCGGCGGTACTTGGAGTCTCCGGCTTCCGAGGATCCATACCTTCCGCTTCATCACAGGCCCAGTGATCGTGAGGCACATCTAAAGGAGCTCGAGAACAAGTTAGCGGAGGTACACGCAGTTCTTGGGAAGAGGTCACAAGAGAGGCGTCGAAAACAATGAGATAAGGGGGATAGCTACTTGGCCGGGGCAGCCGAAATTAGGCTTGAGGCTGGGTCCTCAGGCAACGCGCCTCAATTATTGAAATCCTGCATAAGATCTGTTTCTGTCATGCCAAATCAATTACCGCATAGACATTGGGAGGAAATTATTTCCGGGCAACTGTGGCCTTGTCTAGCGAAGCAATCACATAGAGTCAATAGATCTCGTGATCGGATGGAGGTCCAAAACTGACAGAGTGTACAAAACTGTACCTGGCGCTAGCATTGTCAACAATGGACTTTATCTGGGTCAGTATCATCCCTCGTGTTCAGAGTTCCATCCCTTTGTTCTCCCCGCGTGCCCCTTGCTGCACTTTCCAGGGCCAACCTTGAAATTGACATCATCTCAGTCAGCTTGATTACAATAATGGCTTGGCTGTTGTGTATATTGTATTGGTAGCAGTGATTCGTGATGACCTCTTGATTGTGAAGCTCTGAGATAGTAGCAGTACCTGCATTTGAGAGACTGCCTGATGCGAGATCTTCATCCCCTGACGGTGGAGGAGTTTGTCGATCCCCGATTGCCATTCGCGGTTCCCAAATATAAAACTCTTGGCAGCATTTACAGCCTAGGAGTTACTCAGAGTCGTACAATCGGCAATTCTTCGTCCATTCTCATTTGTTCGGCAGCGGTGGCTGCCGTTATCCTCCGAGAAGGGGTCCCTCACCTTCCCCCTCTTTCTTCTCAGTTTGCTGTTTTCCATTAATCGCTCATATCATAAGGTTACATTGAAGAGTGGAACAGAAGGGGGAGCGGAGGGGGATGGTGGGTGCCTGAGGCTTGGCAAGTCCGGTGGAAACAAACAAACAAACAAATCAGCGTTCATTCCTGGCTTTCCTCCCTGACGATCTTCCCCCAAATCCTCCCAACCACTTCCCCCCCCAAGACCTCCCAAGCCCCCCAAGCCTTAAGCCTTGACTTGTCTCTCTTCTTTTCTGAGTCCTCGCTTCGCCTGTCCGACGGTGTCCGTCCTCAAAACATGCTTCGATTGACCATCAGATCCACCGGGCGGAGCCAATCACCTTCCCAAACGGGGGAAATCGGCATGCACATCCAGGCATCACTGGAGTCAAGTGCATCCCAACTGGTAGAAGGGCCCCAGACATTCCCCCTCTCACCGAGGCTATCACGCGAGATGCAGCTCCTCTCCGCTCCGTTGCACAACTGGCTGTCAAATAAATACACCTCATCTACCTCCCTTCCCTGTTGATTTCACCTGGACCTCGTTCTTCGGTAATCCTTCCTCTACTCTTCATTATGCTGCCCTCGCTACTGAGCAATGGCGCAGCCCTATCACTCGCAGCTCTTGCGCTGCTTCCGTCTCTCGGAGCAGCCGAGGTCTTCGAGAAACTAGCTGGAGTTCCCCAGGGTAAGCGACTCCCCTCCCCCGGTACGGACGCGGCAAACAGGGACTGCAAGGCTTTCACCGGTCGATCTCAAACTCACTATGTATTCGTGATATAGGCTGGAAGTTTTTTGGAACCCCCAGCGGGCATGAACCTCTGCGCCTTCAGATTGCTCTCTCGCAGCACGATCTGGCTGGGTTTGAGCAGGCACTCTTGGACATGTCTACACCCGGACACGCCAACTATGGAAGACATTTCCGCACCCACGATGAGATGAAGCGCATGCTTATGCCTACCGACGAAGCCGTCTCATCAGTTTGGGAGTGGCTTGAGTCGGCGGGAATTAGCGACATCGAGCAGGATGCTGATTGGATCAAGTTCCGCACTACTGTGGCCGAGGCTAATTCCCTACTCGATGCCGAATTCAAATGGTATGTCAACGAGAACACGGACATCCGACGACTGCGCACCCTGGCCTACTCCATCCCTGACTCAGTGGCCCCCCATGTGAACATGATTCAACCGACCACTCGCTTTGGCCAACTCAAGCCCAACCGAGCCACCATGCGTAGCAAGCCCAAGCACGTTGACGAGCAATCCTTGGCGTCCGCCGTGCGCGCTCAGAACACCTCGCAATGTGATTCGGTGATCACACCTCACTGCCTCAAGGACCTATACAACGTGGGAGACTACCAGGCCGATGCTAAGTCTGGCAGTAAGGTCGCATTCGCGAGCTATCTGGAAGAGTATGCTCGGTACGACGATCTCGCCAAGTTCGAACAGAAACTTGCTCCCACCGCGGTTGGCCAGAACTTTACCGTGGTCAAATTCAATGGCGGCCTGGACGACCAGAAGTCCACCAAGGACAGCGGCGAAGCCAACCTCGACCTACAATACATCGTTGGCATGAGCTCTCCTCTCCCCGTGACTGAGTACAGCACCGGCGGCCGAGGCAAGCTTGTTCCAGACCTTAGCTCCCCCGACCCGAACGACAATAGCAACGAGCCGTACCTGGAATTTTTCCAAAACGTTCTCAAACTATCCGACGCGGAGCTTCCTCAGGTCATCTCGACCTCATATGGCGAAGATGAGCAGGTACGAACTCCTAATCCTGTGTACTTCTACGGGTCACAATTTACGCCTTCATAACGCTTCTTATGGTTTACCTAGCCCAGCATTAACTTTTACCATAGACTATACCCAAGTCATACGCCTTGACCGTCTGTAACCTCATTGCCCAGCTCGGGAGCCGTGGCGTCTCCGTGATCTTCTCTTCCGGCGACTCAGGTGTCGGGGCTGCCTGCCTGATGAACGATGGCACTAACCGCACGCACTTCCCCCCTCAATTTCCCGCGGCCTGCCCCTGGGTCACCTCGGTCGGAGCCACTACGCTGACCTCCCCCGAGAAGGCTGTCTACTTCTCGTCTGGCGGCTTCTCCGACTACTGGGCTCAACCCGCCTACCAATCCGAAGCCGTGAACGGCTACCTCACCAATCTGGGACCCAAGTTCGCTGGCCTCTTCAACGGATCGGGTCGTGCTTTCCCCGACGTCGCCACTCAAGGTACCAACTATGCTGTCTACGACAAGGGCTTCCTTGGGCAGTTCGACGGCACGAGTTGTTCTGCACCCACCTTTGCCGGCCTTGTTGCTCTCTTGAACGATGCCAGACTGCGGGCGGGAGCACCCGTCCTCGGCTTCTTGAACCCATGGCTCTACAGCGCTGCCGCGGAAGGAGAGGGTTTCAATGATATCACTCAGGGAGGCAGTTTGGGTTGTGACGGACGCAATCGGTTCGGCGGCACGCCCAACGGCAGTCCCGTTGTACCGTTCGCCAGCTGGAATGCTACGGCAGGATGGGATCCTGTAACGGGTCTCGGATCGCCCAACTTCGGAAAGCTCCTCGAGGTAGCGCTGGGTGCTTGATCCTCGGAAAATTGTGTTTCTTTGTCCATATTTTGTCTCCAGCTGGGGTGAAGATATCCAATCTCGTTCTGAATTTGCTTCTCAGGCACTGGTCAGCGATGCGACCAGACGTGGGTAGCGATGCCATTTCATGATAACTTACCACTTTAATCAATTCCAATCTTTGAAGATAATTTTCACCCCTGGTCAAACCAGCCCAGCACATAAAGCCAGCGATTCTTCGCAGCAAACGTTCCCTCCCATCAGCTGATTATGACCACATGACAGGTCGCTGCTGACTCATTCCGCCTGTCAAAACAACAGAATTCCGGCCTGAATTGCGATGTCACAAGTGAGCAAACTGTGCAAATGTGGAAATGTGTGCTCGACCATCGCAGTATTGCATCCACTCGGTTCGTTTTCAGATCGGCGAAGCCCGAGGGAGATTGGAGTCGACCGGGAATCCCCCCATAGCCGCCCATGATGACTACACCAGCGTGGACATAAAGATAGCTGGGCACGCCACCGTCGAAGGGTCCAGATCTTCTGCCGTTGTTTGTCCTCCAACCTCAACCATGGAAAATTCCACCACCTGCCCCCTCATTCGTCTGGATACTTCGCGCATAATCGGCCAACTACTCGTGTATGATGAATCTCACCCTGGCTACATTACCTCTTCCGTTCGGGCGTAATAAGTCATGACGCCTCTGTAACGTCGACGAAAGCTAGCTTTTGGGGGGAGGGAAGGGAAAGCTAGCAGCTTGGTACTTTGACGCTTGAATCTTATAAAGCTACGGGGTTTCCTCTTTATGACGAATAAGTATGGACCCACCTTTGCTGCAGCTTACACTTGCACATAGCACGGCCTCCGTTTCTTCCTTGACTGACAGCTACATCGTCTACACCTAGAAAGTTTCCTGTTTGTGAACATGAGAATGCCTCGATGGGTGCCAGGACCTCGAAAGAAGGCCGACGCGTCTCCTGATCATGAGACGTCGGACCCGTCTGCACCCACTCGCAATCAGCTGCCGATGCTGCACTTGGCCGACACTGCGCGGAACAATCTCGTTGCCGGGGTGGGTGAATTCGTGGGCACGTTCTTGTTCCTGTTCTTCTCCTTCGCGGGCACGCAGGTCGCCAACACCCCCAAGCCGGCCGACGGCGCGCTCCCGAACACGTCCAATCTGCTATACTCGGCGCTGTGCTTTGGGTTCTCGCTCATGGTCAATGTGTGGGCCTTCTACCGGGTGACGGGTGGATTGTTCAATCCTGCGGTATGTTCCATCCATACGCCAATCTGGCCAAAGGTCTTGGCGATACGGTAAAGCAGGGAGAGCCCCGTTGACTGAGACTTGCTGTGGGACACAGGTCACTCTGGCACTCTACCTGGTAGGCGGGCTGAAGCCATTCCGGGCGGTGACGGTCTTTGCAGCCCAGCTCATAGGCGGCATCGCGTCTGCGGGGGTAGTCAGCGCCCTGTTCCCCGGCTCGCTGAACGTGGCCACCCGATTGGGTGGGGGCGCTTCCATCTCGCAGGGGCTGTTCATCGAGGTCTTTTTGACGGCCCAGTTGGTTTTCGTGATTATCATGCTGGCCGTGGTCAAGCACAAGTCCACCTTCTTGGCCCCGGTGGGCATTGGGCTTGTCTTCTTTGTGACGGAGCTGGTTGGTGAGTCGTTCTTCCCTCTCCTGTCTGGTCAAACTCAAAATCAAGCACAGCAGCATTCACCTGGCTTTCTTCTCACAATGAACAGGCGATTACTACACCGGCGGCTCCCTCAACCCGGCGCGCTCCCTCGGCCCTGATGTCATCAACCGTAGCTTCCCCGGCTACCACTGGATCTACTGGGTGGGACCCCTGCTGGGCAGTCTGCTAGCGTGCGGCTTCTTCGCCTTCCTCCAGCTGTTCCAGTACCAGTCCGTCAACCCCGGTCAGGACTTCAACGAGTGGGAGGCCAAGCTGGGCCCCGGCTCGTGGGATTCCTCGATGCATCGACCCTCGGTGCTCTCCGAAGGCAGCACGCTCGGGCGCGCGCATTCCCCGACGAGTGGACGGTACCCTGTCTCGGGACAGAATATTCCTCATGGGGCTGAGCAGGTTTAAGCATGGCAGTAATGGTGATCCGGCCGGCCCGGCAGCGCTTAGTTCGGCTGATCCATGGTTCGGACCCTACCCCCGCGCTGTCGGTGTCATAGGTATCTGGTCCACCCACATGGTGCAATAATGACGGATCGAGTATGTGGGGACCGTGCTGGGGTCTTGGATGGAGGATGGGTGGCAGCTGCGTGTTGGGTGATTACCCGTAGATATGAAGTCTGGTTGTGGCCCTTACTCAGGTTAGGGATCAATTGCGGTTTTAGCTGGGCCTGTTGAGAGATGGCATTTTTAATCTTCTTGCATAACAATGGAATCAGAGCTCCTTTATCTTCCAGTCCAGATGAGCAGAGAGATAATGCTAATACCAAAGAGTACGTCACCGTGCAATTGAATTCCTCCCGCCTGGGACAGGATAGACTGGTCACCCATGGCCATGCAAACCTTGTTACATCCAGTGTCGCTCACAGAATGCGCTCAACCCTGGGTCCCCACTTACCAGTCGCAATCCTCTTTCCAGTTGATCGGTGGCCAGCTATCCCCAGACCCCCTTCCGCGGTCGATCTCACCTCACCCCAATCCCCACATCTCTTTCTTGCCAGCAGATACAGGCATCCACCTTCAATCCGACCGAGGCAAAGGCCGCACAGATCGGGGACAGTACCAAAGCCTTGAGGTTGGTTACTGGAGTCGCTAAAGCCCGTCTACCCGCTGCATCAGGCATCATCTTCGCCGGAATCATCTCATCCTAGACACGCCAGAGCGAGCGCCATGAAGTCTGACTTTCATCAAATGTGAGCCAGGAAACGCTTTCCTAGTTCCAGGGGTAAGCAATTGTGGCTTGACAATCCAGGACCAGGCAGGGGGAATGTTGGTTAGAGCAGAGCGCCTCGTGATTGATAACCCTTACTCCCTGGGATTGGGGTCTCCGGAGGTGGTTTAGATAGTCGCTGGTTTGGGGGGATCAGTATTGGTTGTCGTGGCGGAAGATGGTGTGGTGGTGTGAGTGTTGGGAGTGATGTGATCAGGTCTTGTTGTTGTGGATTGTTGATGGAATGGCTTTGAATTTGTTGTGCTCTGCGCTGCTGGATCATGGTATTGTTTGGGTGCGTACGTAGAGAGGTCTAGGTTCGTTGGTTGGGGAAGCGGGGGATTGGCTGCTGGGTGGATTGTTGGAGTATGAGGGCTGAGGCTCGCGAGATGGAGACGTCCAAGGTTTTTACATTTTATTGCAGGTGAGAAATCTACAATCCACGCCTAGTTCAGTGTATAACCCATCAGTGCTAACGGTGCCTACCCCATACACACCCTGAAGCCCTACCACCTCCGACCAGACAATATCACACCACCATTCAGCTCAGCGTCTATATATCATTCTACCATCCCTCAACTATGGGCACCACGCACCCTCTTCCCTTCAGATCCTTTCCCATGTAAGCCAGACAATACTCCAGGCGTTCCACCCCGACCAACCCTATCTTTCCAAATCGCTGTTATCTCTCGCCAATCATCCCGTCTGGATACCCTCCACGCAACCTCCTTATCACCGCATGGCCCTGCATGCTTCTGTCTACTGCACTAAACCCCAGAAGGCGCACTGATCCGGGGTCACCATCTGGGATCCAATCGATGCAATCACAGCTTAGGAGCCCGTGGATCCGCATACCTTATCAGTTCGGTATACAGGCGATCCCTGGCCTTGGCATTGTGATATCATCTGGCCCACGGCCGATTACAGTCATATCGATATCAATCCCACCGCACGGGTTGCGATGTTGCTGTTGCCAAGGGGGTATTTGATAGAGCTGGGTCCTCGCGGGAACTGTTCTGCTGCTTTCGGTGGGAATTGATAAGGATCCTGGCTTGGCATGAGTCCCACGATCGGAATCCTTGGAGGAGCACTGTGGAGCCGCGCGCGATTGATGGCGACAAGTGGACAGGTCTGAGTCAGGCCAAGAAGATGTAAGGTTCGGATTATTACATATCGCTGCTTGGAGCGAGGGGCAGGGGGTGGATCTATATATACTGTGGGGGTCCTTTCCTTTGCTCGCGAAACGAGAATCGGACCGGGCGTGGTGGGATATACTCCCTTGTTCACAATCTTGGTATAATTCATCTGTCTGACATGGCTGCGGTAAGTGGGAGGTTCCCAGTATGGTTTGCTTTCGCTCGAGGTCAAAACTGATCATCTGCGATCGGACAGCCGGTCTATAATGCCTCGATGCCCGAGGGCGGCGACCCGCTCACGATCGATGTCAACGCCCAGTTTGTGGGCTACGAGTACAATTATGTCTACATCGTCGCGTGCACCTTTATCGTCTTCATGATTTTGCCGGGGATTGGCTTGTTGTATAGTGGTTTGACGCGGAGGAAGTCTGCGATGGCCTTGCTGTTCCAGGCTTTCATGGTTCTTGCGGTGTGAGTTTGCGCCCGCTGCAGGTCCTGTGTGATATGTTGCAACCCCCGTGCTGATTCTCCTGCAGCTCGACCTTCCAGTGGCTATTTTGGGGGTATTCGTTGGCCTATTCGAGAGATGGAGGCCCATTCATTGGCACGCTGAAGAATTTCGGCTTGATGGAGGTCCTGGTAGCCCCATCGCCTGGCTCGGCCGTCCTGCCAGAAGTCGTGTTTTGCCTGTTCCAGCTGCTCTTTTGCGCATGCACAGTAAGAATCCCCTCCCAGTACGCCTTCGCATAGTCAGTGCTAAAAGCTAGACAGGTGATGATCGTTGTTGGTGGTACTTTTGAGAGAGGCGCGATCCTCCCTTCGCTCATCTTCAGCTTCTGGTGGGCTACGGTCGTCTACTGTCCGTTGGCTCGCTGGACCTGGAGCAGTAACGGATGGCTGTACAACCTTCCTGCCATTGACTTTGCGGGTGGCGGTCCGGTGCATATCGCGTCTGGTGTCTCGGCCTTAGCCTATGCTTTGATACTCGGCAAAAGGAGGGATTACGGGGCACCGTCTTTCCGCAAACCCCACAACACCACGCTCATCTTTCTGGGAACCGTCTTGATCTGGACTGGCTGGCTTGGTTTTAATGTAAGTGTCGCGCATGGTCTAGTGGCTTGCATGTGGTCTAATCTTTGAGGAATGCAGGGCGGCTCAAGTCTCAATGCGAGCATGCGTGCCATGGTGGCCGTCTTCAACACCAATACAGCCGGATGCACAGGTATCCTCGGCTGGGTCTTGGTAGATATGATCAAGCATCGAGGGAAGTTCTCTATAGTTGGTGCTTGTGAAGGTGCGATCGCTGGGTTGGTCGGAATCACTCCGGCTGCCGGCTGCGTGTCGTTCTGGCTCGCTGCCTGCATTGGATTCATCACCGCGGTTGTCTGTTCCCTTCTTCAGAACGTGAACGATTGGATCGGTGTCGACGAAGGCTTGGATGTTTTCAAGCTCCACGGCATTGGTGGAATGGTGGGCGCGTTTCTGACAGGCTTGTTCGCCAGCCAGAAGATCTCGGCCCTCGATGGCAGCAGTCTGGCGCCCGGAGCGATCGATGGAAACGGAGTGCAGGTTGGAAAGCAAATAGCGGAGATCTGCGCCATCTCCAGCTATTCGTTCGTGGTGACCTGCGCTCTGCTGTTGATTCTCAAGTATATCCCGGGCATGAACCTTCGGGTCAGTGAGGAAGCCGAGTTGTTAGGGTTGGACCAGACCGAGTTCTTCGACGAGCAAATCGGGGATTGGTCGATCACTCAAGGAAGTGCCAGTCCTACCTTGATCGGAGTGTCGCAGAATTCATCCGGCTCCATCACGAAGGAGGAGTGCCAGGTGAAGGGGAGCGGGGTATAGACGACTCGCTGCGGTATTCAATGTGCATTGTTGATTTTTGTGTTTAAGTTCAAGAACTTGATTTCGGAGCGTTTGCCGATCTCTATGCCTGCAACTGCGGGAAATCAATAGATTCAGCAGCAGCAACAATGTGGTAGGTTGTTTAGACGCGCGGCCTCCGATCGTCCACCGTATCGCGTTATTTGCATGGGTAGCACAACGAGATTCATGGCTGTAATGTATTATTGGATGTTGCTGCTTCTGACCGCGTTGGTTGTGAACCGGGCCTGAGATGTCAAGCTCGGGCCGGATAAGCGGAATGATGCCATATCACCACCGTTGAGCGACGACAGCCTGGCAGGGTACGGTGGAGCTCCGGAGCTAAATCCGGTTATATCGTCATCGTCACTAGATAACTAGCCATGGCAGTCCAATGCAGGCGGGATGATCGGATACATCCGACGACCCTTGGTGTAATCCAGTATAAAGAGATGGCTGGTTGGTGTCAGGCGTCCAACCGAAGTGAAGATGGAGTTGATACGGGAGAGGATCGCAGACTCCCTGACGCTCTCAGTAGTGGGAAGAGGGGCAGGGTGGGCAAGCAACCAATCACCAGCCAAGGCGGTGGAACAAGGCGTGCAGAGCTTACGTCAACCCCGGCCGGGGTATTTTCACATTAAATGTGATTCATTTGATTCATTTGATTCACTACTAGTACATTCTTGGACCAGGCAGGCTGGCCGAGACCCTTCTGCTTAATTTCCCGAAGATGCTAGGTAGATTGCCATTGTCTGGGTGCAGCTGAAGAAGACATCTACTGATGAAGATAATCGTCGAGAGTCAATCTCATCATCGATCTATAATTAACCTCATCAAACGCTTCCAATACGAACTCCCTACGGGTTAAAGTTGGGAGGGAAACGTGGTGCACTCCGTCCACCTTTGTATACGCAAGTCTAGCCACTTCCCGACCATTCCCGGATAGGCTTAAAGGCACTCCTCCTGCATCCGTTCCCGTCTTATCGGCCATCGGCCTTCATCCACTAAGCTCTCTCCGTCAAAAAAAAGTCACTTTCCTTTTCGCCTTTTACCTTTTCGGCCGTTTCCCTTCGTCTCCCTCTCCAAACTAAATCATCACCCCTTCTCTTCCTCCTAGACTACCATTCTTCACCTCCCCACTCCTCGTTTCTCCCTTTACACTCCCCCCGTTCCGTCGACTTCCACTCCTGACTCTTACTTTCGGATTGGATCTCTGGTTCCTCTCTACCTTTGACTTTCTCCTTCATCTTGCTTCCTCGTAGCAAGAGCCATTCGTTTGTCACCGTTCTTCCCGTCGACTGTCGCATCTCCCTTATCTGCGACCGGCTCCCCGCCCGCCTTCCGTACCTTTTGCGATCACAACATCCACACCTTGCTTCGCACACCCTTCGACTGCTGACAACAATCGCGATTTTCCCGCTGGTCGCTGACTCTGAGGTGGTCATGCGGCTCGGATTGTTCACTCATCTACAATACTAATCTTAATACCACCGTTGCGATCCCGATGGGCAAATGTAAGTTGCCGGTCGCCTTTCCCCGCCGGAAGTGGGTTTCCAGGGTGCTAATGCAGGGTCTCATAGGGCGCTATGGAGTCGTCCTGGACGCAGGCTCGTCTGTATGTTGGACACTGGTGGGCTCAATGAATATTACGGTCGCTAATGCCTCGATAGGGGACTCGAGTTCATGTCTATCGATGGTTAGACAACGCCATCGCTCGCAAAGAGGCGGACGGAGATAAGCTCAAGTCGCTCCCGGAGATCAAAACAAAGTCCCATTGGACCAAGAAAATTCACCCAGGTACGACCTCCAGGAAGCGGTGGACGTTCGCAATTCGTATACTGGACTCACACCCATCTCTCGTAGGAGTATCCTCATTCGCCAACAAACCGGAAGATGTAGGACACGAACACCTGGCAGACCTTCTCGAACATGCCCGTGAAATCGTACCCGATGATGCCATCAAAGACACCCCGATCTTTCTCCTTGCCACTGCCGGTATGCGCCTGCTGGGCGATGTCGAAAGGAAGGTTCTGCTGGAGCAGATTTGCTCCTACGTCGGCGCGAATTCGGATTTCTTGCTTCCCGACTGCGACGTTCACATCCAAGTTATCCCCGGAGTGACGGAAGGGTTGTACGGTTGGATCGCCACGAACTATCTCCTCGGAAGCTTCGATTCGCCGGGGTCCCACGATCACGGCAAGGGTCACCACACGTATGGGTTTTTGGATATGGGTGGCGCATCGGCACAGATCGCTTTCGCGCCCAACGCGACCGAGAGCGAGAAGCACGCGAATGACCTGACGCTACTGCGGCTGCGCAACATCGACGGATCGGACCAGGAACACAGGGTTTTCGTTACTTCATGGCTGGAGTTCGGGGTGCATGAGGCTCGGAGGCGCTTTGTAGAATCTCTGCAGGCGGCCAGTGCTGTTGGAGGAGTCACGGAGCTCCCGGATCCCTGTTTACCTGCAGGATTGCGTACGACGCCCGATGGAAAGCCCCTTGCCCCGAGCGACGACGGCATCCATTTATTGGGGACTGGAAAGTTTGATGAGTGCATGCGTCAAACATATCCTCTGCTGGACAAAGATGCGCCTTGTCCGGACCAGCCATGTCTTCTCCGTGGTGTGCATGTACCAGCCATTGACTTCGACGTAAACCATTTTGTCGGGATCAGCGAGTACTGGCATACAACTCACGAAATCTTTGAAATGGGCCACAAGGACAAAGCCTACGACTTTCACACCTACCAGGATCGCGTACAGTCTTTTTGCTCTCAAGATTGGGCAAGCATCGAGGCTGGACTTGAGAGCCACCAATGGGGAAAGAAGGTCGACCGAGAATCAGCCTCCGAGGTCTGCTTTAAGGCATCATGGATCATCAATGTATTGCATGACGGCATTGGGATCCCTCGTGTAGGGTTGGACGCAATGAAAAGCTCGAACCATAACGGAACCAAGGAGGTGCTGTCCCACGGTCAAAGCAAAGGCTTTTTGGACTCTTTCCAGGCTGCCGACAAGATTCAAGACACGGAAGTGAGCTGGACTCTCGGAAAGATGGTTCTGTATGCATCCTCGCAGATTCCCATCGAAGCTCAAGAGGCACTCCCGGTTGGGTTTGGCAGCAATGTTGCCGGGGTCCCTGCCGACTTTCAATATCCCAGTGCTGAGCTGTTGCCCGATCCTGAAGGCGCACACAACGGATCATGGCGCGACGCCATGCTCGACAGCAGCCCGTCTCGCAGAGTGCCTGGTCTCATTCTCTTCCTGCTAATAATAATCGTGGCTGCATTCTTCCTCTGCGGACGCAGCCGCCGACTCAAGATGTATCACAGAATTCAGAACGTCTTCGGTGGCGGTGGTCCTTCTCACCCCAGCTACCCCAAGAAACGGAGAATCTTTGGCGGCAAGCTGCCCTTCTTTGGCCCAAGAAGCCCCACATATGAGCGCGTCCTCGAGGATGGCGCTGCTGCCTATGATCTCGGTGAGACCGCGTCCAGCCGCAGTTCCATCGATGGGGGACGTCCATCGGAAGCAGACTCCACGAAATTCATGGCGCCGAAGCGGGCATCGAGCTGGGGAAGTGGGAGCAATACACCCACGTTCAAGTATGCGCTGGACAACTCATCTTCAGGGACTATTGGACTCGGTATTACCCCGAGTCCGGGTGTCTCGGCGATGGACCGACATGGTCTCGTGGTGAGGACGGAGAGTAGGGATCATCTGGCGCCGGTAGCACTGGGTCCGACGACGAATGGTCGCCGGTCCAGAGCTGGCAGTCCTTCTCGAGCTCACCCCAACAAATCGCCAGTCATGACCCCTCTCACAGATGAATGATCTTTCTGTATGATTATGTTTATGTCACTGTGTTGCATTTCCAGGAGTTGGTGTTCCGCGTTGTCAGGCCAGGACATGGATTGGAGTTGGTCGTGTAATTTCCGGAGTTGCTTCTTGGTACGATATTGTCGGAGCATGTGCTCTTGGGTGCATAGTTACTCTGTTCGAACCATTTGTCAAAGTATTAGACATATCCAATTTAGTCAATGCCAGGTGCAAACATTTACTTTCATGAAACCTTTTGAATCTGGTATGGATACTGGGGACTGTAGAGAAGAGCGTCACGTGCGAAGGGTGTAAAAGCTGAGTCAGGTTCTTACCGCCCCGGCAAAATCATCAGTGATTGTGAAGCCGGGCAGGGCCAGTCGCAGCGGAGCTTCCGACTCTCATCCTGTTGTCATCACCTACCGAAAAGCTTGCTATTTGCTGTCGTGTTCAATCCGCTTCTTCCGATTTCTGATTGTTTACTTCGTGTTTTACTTGCTTGATACCCTAGTTCAAACCGAGACCACACATCCACCGCCACCATGCGATTGACCGTCGAACTGATCCAAAATTCCCTCTCGTACATCAACCCGCTCAAGGACCGCGAGCTAGATCTCCGAGGTGCGTTTTTTTCACGGACCCCTCCCCCCCCACACCAACTGGTTCCCTTTTCCCTGGAAATCTGAAAAGTCAGATACTACATCTTGTCTAAAGGAGCTGGATTGATATCGAATTGGTGGCGCGATTGGCGGTATGTAGGGCACAAGATCCCCGCGATTGAGAACCTGGGTATTGCCAAGGTGAGTTTGACCCCAAGCCCTCAAGTTAGATTGTCCGGCGTCGCGGGTGGGACGTACAGGAAGTGCACGAACAAGCTAACTGGGGATTCTTGGGTAAAGGACCAAGATGCAATCGACCTCACGGACAACGACATCACCACGCTCGGCAACTTTCCCTTCTTCCCGCGGCTGCACACCCTCCTCCTGGCGCGGAACCGCATCAAGCAGATCCAGCCGACGCTGGCGGCGTCGGTGCCGAACCTGACGGCCGTGAACCTGACGGCGAACGCGGTGGCGGAGCTGGCGGATCTGGATCCGCTGCGCGGGTTGACCGGGTTGACGCATTTGGTGGTGTTGGAGAATCCGGTGACGAGGAAGGAGGTTAGTTCTCCCCTCTTTCTTTCTTGTGTTTTTGGGGGTTGGGTGTATGGTGGGAGGATAAAGCTGGTCGTGTTTGACGTCCACGTCCCCGGGTTCTCTGTCTTCTTTTTCGGTGTGTGCTAATCTCTGATCCCGGTACCAGCACTACCGCCACTACCTCATCTGGCGCATCCCCAGCCTGCGGTTCCTGGACTACCAGAAGGTGAAGGACGCGGAACGCGAGAAGGCGACGGAGCTGTTCGGCACGGCCGACGAGCCCTCGGCGTTGGCCTCGAAGATCATGGGCGTCAAGTCGCGGACGTTCGATGTGCCGGCCTCGGCGCAGGTCGGGGCCGCCGGCGGGGACCGTGCGGTGCGGGTGAAGTTGACGGACCGGGAGCGCAAGCGCGTGGAGAAGCTGATCCGCGAGGCCAAGAGTCTGCAGGAGATCACGCGCTTGGAGCGCGAGCTGAACGAAGGCCGGATACCCGGGGGTGCGGTGGATTATGCGGATAGTGGGGATGAGATGGAGACTTAGTTGGAGGGGTTTTGTGTCATGTGGGTTTATTGTATACGGTTATTGTTCTAATGGAGTGTGGTTTTGGTTTGGTTTGGGTTGGTTGGGGTATTGTGTAGAGGTATTTTGTATGAGGGTTATCTTCTGGTTTAGGGGTGGTAGGGTTGGCTACTTGACAGCTAAAGCTTGAGTATTCTCGAAAGACCAACCATTTGGCCAAGATTGCTACTTTAGTGTATATGTGCTGAGTACGAGCACAATCACAATCAGATAAGATATCTTCACGTGAAGATAGGCCCCGACAGCATCCGTCCTATAGTCAAAACGTCATCACCTTCCACAATTTCCTGATTCCATCTGAATATTCATTCCTATTAATCCCGCCAACCTACTCACACAATCCCACCATCTCAATCAACACGCCTACGCCCATTAAAGTTCCAATTCTACTAACAATCCACCCAAGCTGGCATCACAACCGATACACCACCGCCTCAAACACCTCACCCGCCTCCTCCCACCCCAACTCCAAGTTCAACCCCACCGACCCCTCACCACGACCACGACCATTGCCAAAATGTCCCAAGCAGCAACAAAAGCAACCGCACCGTGGTCCCCCCTCCTAAAATCGCACCTAACCTCCAGCAAAAGTAAATCCTTCACCCTCTCCACCGTAACCCACCACCCAACGTCCGGTCTGCCCGTCCCGCGCTCCCGCACCTGCGAGCTGCGCGGCTTCTTCCCGGCGGTGCTCAGCCTACACCCTAGCGCCGCCGAGGCGCTGGACGCGCAGGGCATCGGCCGGACCCCCCAAGGACTGGAAAGTGACATGCCCGTGTTCACGACGGATATCCGGATGGCGAAGGTGGGCGAGTTGGGGGTGAGTGGCGGGCAGGTGGAGGGGGTGTTTTGGGTCGAGGAGGTGCAGGTGCAGTGGCGGGTGAGGGGGGGGACGGTTGTTTTGGGGGGTGGGGAGGAAGGGAAGGAAGGGAGGGAGGGGGTTTGGGAGGGGATTAGAGGGACGGGTGAGGGTGCAGGTTTTGCTCAAGGGGACTGGGAGAGGATGGTGACGACTTATTTTGCGAGTCATTCGCCGGTTATGCGAGGTATTCTTCCTTTCGGTTTGGTGGGTGGGAGGATTGAGGGGGGTGGAGAGAAGATGAACTAATGGGCTGTGAATACAGGCACGTTTAGGAACCCGCCGCCGGGTCAGCCGCGGTCGAAGCACCCGGAGACCTCGGAGCTGAAGATGGGGCAGAAGGTTGAGGATTTGAAGGACCCTGTTGCGAGACGGAATTTCCGCGTCGTGGTTATCAAGCCCGAGGAGGTGGAGATGTTGGATCTTTCCAAGGCGCCGGATGCTGTTCGTAAGAGGTGGACTGTTGTGCGGGATGGGGTTACTGAGAAGTGGGAGGAGGTTGAGCTGTGGCCATGATTTCCTTGGGATTGTTTCGGGGAGTGTATGGTACAAAGAGAGTGTCTTCTGGGAAGGCTTGAGTTCTTTGTGTGGACAACGGATTCAAGAAAGATGGGGAAAGGTTCAATGACTCTTTCAAGGATCTATTGCTGAAACCATTGTTGCCCTCGTACAGATAAAGGCGTGTCTTGTGCCCCGATATAGTTCGGCCGAATTTAGACTGCTATGCCTCCAAATTGTTCTGGATATAGATCACCGTCGTCCCAGTTCCTTGTAAGCGGGTCGATTCAATGAGCCGTCATTGTAGCTATCCTCATACCGACTGCTCGAATAGCTCTGTCTTAAGGATATATAGACTGGCGGTCGGGACTCGTACCGGATATTGACAGCAATCCCACAGCCAGCTAGCTACTATCATCCCGCTATCCCAATCACTATAGCTTTTTACCTCAACTCCACAATAGCCGATTCCTACCTTCGCAATCATTCGTTGAACCATGGCCCGAGTCATAAATACAGGACCCGGGGACACCGGTGCCAAGGTTGCTGGAACGGCCCAGAAGAGGCAGACTAGACCGACCACCACCACACAGAAGACTGCACAAACAACCACTGGACCATTGACTGGAACGATGCCCACCGCTGGAAAGCAGGCTGCTCAGCCTACTGGCCCAGTGGCCGGTCCATCAACCACAAAAGTGCCTGCCGCTGCAAAGCAGGCCACTCAACCTACCCGCTCAGTAGCTGGGCCCTCGACTGGAAAAGTGCCTGCCGCTACAAAGCAGGCTGCCCAGCCTACTACTTCAGTGGTCGGACCATCGACCGCAAAGGTAGCTGCAAAGACAGCTGCGAAGAAGAAGAAAAAGGTATGTTGCGCATTGTCTGAGAAAGAAGCTGTCCTTCACCATGCCTGTACTAACTGTTGCAATATCAGTCCACGCGTGGCAGACCTAGAAAAGCATGCTCACCTTGTCGCCGCGCCAAAAAGAAATGTATACATATGGGAGAGGAGGATGAGAATGACGAAGAGGAAGAGGAAGAGGAAGAGGAAGAGGAAGAGGAAGAGGAAGAGGAAGAGGAAGAGGAAGAGGAAAATGATGATGGTCAGAAAAAGCTTTCTGAAAAGGCGAAGGGTAAACAAAAGATAAAGAGTGCCGATAATGATGATGGTGATGATGGTGATGATGGTGATGATGATGATGATGATGGCGATGATGATCAGAAGCAGCTGTTTGAGAAGGCGAAGGGCAAACAAAAGAGAAAGCGTGCCAATGACGATGACGATGACGATGCACCAGGCCCGAAACCAGCTAAGACACGGGGTCGGCCTGCTAAGAATCAAGCAACTGTTGCTGGTCCTTCAGGGAGTGCTCCTGCAACACCTACCAACTTATCCAACCCACTGACGGCTGCCGGGCACATCGTCACGCACCAATACATGAGTCAGCGATTGGGCCAGCGACTCGACAATGCCGAAAAGAAATGGGAAGATGCCATGGATGCCATGATGGAGGCCAAGGAGGCTTTGGATGCCTGGAAAGACTTTTACTTGAAGCACAAGGAATCGCCCAGTTAGCCATCCTCGGGAGCCATGAGCTCAGCAGCTGAGCTCAATTAGCATGTATAGAGCATTTGTTTGCGAAGCAATAGATTTCGTTCATTTGTTTCACTTGGTGCCTTGGATTAGCTCGACTATCAGAACTCAGAGACGAAATCGTGGCTGACGAAGTCTATGATTTGTATAATGTTCGGCAAAGCCGGAATTACTCGGCATAGGACTGGTGGCTTGCACATGACGAAGCTGTGCTCCAGAGAACAATCAATTAATGCACGGGCAAAAGCGTCCAGCAAAGGTTGTGTGATTCGTAAAAAGTTGGCAAGTTATCGTTTGGACCGCATGCTCTCTTGCGGGTCATTTTCCGAAGTACTATGTCGTGCGTTGTGACCGGTGGGCGGATCGATAAGCATTAACATCTCGTGCTCGATACCGTATCGTTATGTTCACCAACCAAGCAATCACCGAAGGACATGTCATTGCGGCCAGGGGGTGTTACCTCCCTTCCATCTTCGAAGGATCACACAACATAAGAATCACCGAGCCAACCAGCTACCGACTTCCTGACTTGGGCCGATCGGCATTTCCACCTAGTCCAACACAAAAAAGAAAGACGGAAGCTCAACATCTGATAGACTGGAAGACATGGTAACTTAACAGCTACGTGGGTTTTGATCGTCGGCTTGAAACTCGTCCCTAAGGTGGGGAGCTGGAAGGGTATAATGTTCGGATATAAGCAGCACGGTGAGGATACTAACGCATCCCTGCCGTCATCCGTCGCAAGGTGCATATAGACCGTTACGTGTCATGACTCGCTTGGGTAAAGTCGCCGTTGCCATAATCAAACAAAGCGACCATTGCGTTCGGATCTCCCCTGCTGGTTGCATCGTTCATGGACTCCTTGCTTGTTCGACAGTCATAATCATCGGCACCAGGCAGGAGGAGGAGCGGAACGGTTGGACAAGGTGCATGCTGGTTTCCAACTCGCCTGTGGTCGCCGAGGCACGTGCTGCTACTCAGTGCAATCGAGTTGTGAGACTTCCCTTGTTTGAGATTAATGAACGGTCAGGCTTCGAGAAATCCTCAAACCTCACACATACGGAGGGTCTCATTTTCTAGAAGGTACATCCGTTTTCTGTCGACCAGTGTTGCGGCTGAAGATGCGAGTCAGCGACTTTACTGGAGGGAAGTCAACGGCCCCCATTGATGAATCAGGAACTAAGCAAGCAGTGGAAGTGGAAGTGGAAGGAACCGTAGCGGTACTTCGTTAGCGGCTGTTCACCGCTTGTCCGTCGCTTGCAGGGAACATGGATGTGATTCCATCTCGGAGTCGTTGTTCTTGGAAGGAAAGCGACAGGAAAAGGAGCAGTAGTAATACTCGTAGTAATACTCGTAGTAGAATTTCCCAGGCATCACATGGTTAACAGTAGTAGTTGAGAAAGGGAAGGAAGCTTCCGTATTGTCCGAGTGGCCGGAAGGGAGAAGATGTACAGTACAGTACAGGTAATAATACGGCCCAGTTCACAGACCCACGCTTCGTCGGGCTTCACTTTTCGGGGATGTCACTTTTAGCTTCCTCTGTAACTTCTTCCCGCCAAACCTACCAGTCTTCATCCTTGCTCTCTTTTCCTTTGGCTGTTGCTCTCTCTCTCTCTCTCTCTTCCTGAGTCCTTTTCACCAGCATTCCCGCCTCCCTTCTTCCCCCTCTCCCCCCTCCCTCCTTTCCCCTCATCTTACTGCTCTCACTCTTTCTACCTCCCCCCCACTCATCTTGCTAAAATTCTGTTTTTATTCATTTTTTGTTTGATGTCATTGTTTGCTTAATCTAAATCTCCCGTCCGCTAATTTAGTGCCACACACCTTCGCGTGCACTAGTCCCTGACCCATAGAGCCATCATTGTAAGGGTCTTATTAGAGTAGCTCGCCCAGGCTCAACCTCATCATCATCATATCGAACCTTCTCTCCTTTGTCGGCCATTCCTAACGTTCTCACGACGAGCCGACCTACCATTATACCGTCCCCCTTTCATCCCTCCTAGCCGGTCAACAGGGTAGCTTCTTAATTCCGGGGACTATCGCGCGGTCCCACAACCTTCCAGATCGACCTCGGACTCGGAAGTACATATCCGAGGGCCGAAGTGCACTGCACTTTTCACCCCTTTTCCAAATCAAAATACCAACCCACACCATGACCGCCGGCGAACAGATGGACGCTCTAGGAGCGTTTTCTTATCTGTCGGACAATGCACCCACATGGATTGGTCAGCTTTCTGATCTAGCTAATCACACTGCCGCCAAACACGCCGATTACGCCAATGCCTACAAACGACACGCCGCTCAGAGAATCCGCCGCCGCAGGAGCAGCTCCATCTGCTCCATTCGCACGGATGACTTGAACTCGACACTTTCCAATACCGAGAGCCCGACCCTCTCATCTGGACCTGCAGCTAGAGAAGGAACTGCAATCACCACTCCAAATACCTCCCAAAATCAGCCGAACTCGAACCCTCGGAAACGCGGAGCCGACGAGGCACCCTCGGTGGACTCGAGTGATGGGGACATCTTCGTCAGTACACGGCATAACCTCATCATCGAGTATGATGGACACACACAGAAGACCTTGGAGGAAATGGTCCGCAATATTGGGACTGCCCGCAACAACATTCGAAAAGGAAAGATGTCACAGCTGCGCACATCCGGATATCGCAGTTCCATGATGAGTCGCGGTCCAAGGATGTCCCCAATCACTTCTTCGCTCGCAAGCCCTATCTCAACGGAGGATGACCTTTTGACCAGCATCCGTCATGCTCGGAGACAAGGACCCCCGGCGTCCCGAGCCCCGGCCGCGTCGCAGGCGTCTCCCTTTGATGCCGCAGAGAAACAGCTGGAGGTTGTCCATGGACTGTGTGAAACCGCCGCCTACCATTTCCTCCGGGCGGGCGACTGTTCAACGGACTTAAGCACGGTGAAGCAAAAGCTTCAGGATTTGCTCGACCTGGCCACCAAAGAAGTGCACCGACTCAAGGCAGAGCAACCACACGGGGCTGAGATGCCGGAGGAGAAGAAAGCACCAATGCTTGAGCCACTACCTGCCCCAACAAAAACAACCACGGACGGTGGACATTTCGTAACAAAGATGGATACCATTGAGGTGGATGACGGATCTGACTCGGTCGAGTCCATTGACTTGACGGTCTTTCGATCCAGCCGGATCCGCCGATAAAAATACAAAGGTTCGAAATTGAAACACAGCATTTGGCGGGGACACTCATTTTACAGCATACACTGGGGGTAAAACAAGCATTTGTTCTAATCTTGCACCGGCGACGATACCACTGAAACAACCACACATACCAGCGTTTTTCCTTATATGCAAGCGAGCGTGGCTGTCATCTAATCAATCCATAGCGTGGTCTGGTCTTAGCATAATGGAGTTTAGCCTTTCCTCTCCTTAGTCTAGCATTTGTATAAGTTACAAGATTACTTGACATGTACCTGGCATCAATTTAATTTCCATCACCCGTATTCTACTGTATCTATCGACCCTCATCTAATATAAGGGATCACCATAGCTCACCCACCACCCTAGTACCCTAGTAGTGCACCCGTTCCCCAATCCCATCCCAAACCCGACCGACTAGTCCAGTAACGAAAAGAAAACAAAACCCACCCTAACAATACCGGGCTCCATCCACCCGCATGATCGGGCTCCACTCGTCCACGGCAGATTTGAACAAATTACATCATTGGCTAGAGGTAATCATCCTCTGCAGCCTGCCATCCGAAACAAAAAAAGAAAAAGAAGTGACAGGGATCTGGTTTAGTAAGAGGGGGGGGCCCCCGCAGGGAAGCCACTCCCGGATGACGGATGACGGCTGATGGCTGACGGCTCGGGGCAATCAAAACCTTCGACCTAAACCGTCCTAACCCACATAAGAATGTTTGGCATTGACTATGTGCTAAGGAAAGCAAGCTTCTTTGACTCGTGTCCCGATGAACCAATCATGGGGTCGTGGGGGGTAGGAATCGGGGGGGCTTTCGGGGAGGGAGATGGGTTGGTATCTGGTTCGAGAAGGTTGCATGGGTATGGGGATGGGGATGGGGATGGGATGGGTGTGTAGGTACAGTACTCTCAGTAAGTGAGGTGTTGTGGGGTGGGATATGCTCTGCAGAAGTGGCGGGCTTGGAGGGGCTACCTTGGTTACTGGGGGAATTGGGGAATGGTTCTTTGTTGTGGATGGGAATATTTGGGGTCGGATGGTCTGTGGTGATAGCGAGATCGGGAGGGATCTTTGGGGAGGGAGAAGTCTTGACTCTGGGACTGCGTGTGGGCGGTACTTCCTTAGGGCGATCGGGGAAGTGGGAAATGTGGTTGCAGAACTGGAACTTAAAGGGTGGGGTCACGGGTTCACGTTGACAGGTAAAGGTAAGTAAGTTTAGGGGAGCTAGACCCAGACGAGGATAAGTTCGTGGTCGAGACAGCGGCCGCTGCCGGGCTGGTTGGTGGCTCGTGAGTATCTTACTGATGCTTTCTTCAGGGCAATCATCACAGCAGTACGTTATTGATGAACTGAAGTCAGGATCTCGGATCCCTTGTTTCACTTTGAGCCGTTGAAGATTCGGTTGAATTGCTTGTTATTCGATTCAATTCACGATAACATGGTTTGTGATATCATTGGCTCTGTTGATTAGCATAGCATCTGTCGCATCGTCCAGCCTGCTATTGAGGGCTAGTACATTTATCAGTCTCGGACTGGAAGTTGAATGATCGGTCCAGTCGCTACCTCAGATACCTTGGGGAGTCTCTCGCGTTGGGACAACTGAGGCTTCGCGGGGATTCTCGGATTTAATCCCAACAAGGCACCGAACCAGTACAGAGTATCCATAAATTTACTTGTCTTGCAACCATCTAACAACATGAAGGGCCGATCTTATCTGATCTGGTACCTAATATAACCTTTTGTTTTACCTACTCAGTACTCTTTCCAAAATCTTGATCTTTGGACTAAGCCACCTGGCCTATTGGCCCTTCCTGAATGTGACCATATTCTGCGAGCTTTTGTACAACACAAAGCTTGCTGACTAGTTCCTCTGCTTAGTCCCGGGTGGTTGAGGTACGGGCGAGGAGGGAGGTATGCAGAATGGAAGCTTGTGGAAGAGATTGATAGACACATGAATATGAGAAGAAAGGCATGCGCGTTGGAGGGTCATTCATAACGCACCTGTGTCAACCACTTGCAAATGACCCAATGCTGCTATCTGGTTTTGCTCACTTTCGGCTCTTGGGTCCTTTGATAATGAAATGTGATGAAAGCTCGTGGTCTGCTTGTACTCTTGAAATCTGGCTTCAGAGTACCATGTAAGGTAGACACCAGTAATTCTACCACTTTGAAAACAGTCAAGGACCCATGCACATGACCAGATCATTCACCTTACACTAACAGGAGTCATTCACCCGACCGTTGAACTGGGGTGGCACAGCCCATCACACAGGGACCGGGAGTGACTATGAGGAGCGGTCGTGCCTGCCATTCCAACAACCTACAGCAGGACTATCTCTACCTAATCTAGAGTCAATTCACCCCTCCCAGACGACCACAATCATCTATTATCATTGTCTATCAATATCTTGTTGCTCACCAGCATATCTATTGTTATCCAAACCCCCCGACCTCACGTCCACACATCCTTATCAAATCCTCCTATAAAACGCCTAGGTCCACCATCTGATGTCCACAATCTTCATCTAGAACATGGATCTAGTTCATCTTAGCTCTACCACACCAAAGAACGTCCGCGATGAGCAATCCGAAGTTTCACGTAATAATCGTGGGCGCATCGATCGCGGGCCTGACTCTCGCTCACTGCCTCTCCAGCGCCAATGTCGACTTCACAATCCTGGAGGCCAGGGCCAGTCAGATCACTCAAGGTACTGGGCTCGTTCTGCAGCCAAATGGGGCCCGGATTCTGGACCAACTGGGGTTGTATGATAAGGTACTGCGCCAGGCAGCGCGCATCGTGTCGTACACAACATACTTCGACAGTGGGCGCCTCCTTCTGGACATTGACACTAGGCATATGACCTCTCGGCGGTAAGATCTGATTGATGTGCTTGTGGTTGAGCGGGGCTGATCTGAAGGTAGGACGGGTTATCCGCTCTCCATCATCTCACGGCAAGCGTTGTTGAGTATCCTCTTCGACCATCTACCTCACCAAGACCGCATTCGCTTCAACAAGAAGGTGATTCAAGTGACTCCGTCGCCTCGGGAAGTCACTGTTCACACCGCCGATGGCTCACAACTCTCTGGGGATATAGTGGTTGGAGCAGATGGTGTACACTCCATTGTGCGCTCGAAAATGTGGCAATATATCCAATTCAACAGACACGCTGCTCGGTTTGTTCTGGCGAGGGAGATCCCTCAGAAAACATCGTTTGCTGGAGTCTTTGGCATTGCCGACCCCGTTCCAGGACTCAAAGCGGGCGTAGTCTACCGTACGTTTGGAGCTGGCTGGGTCATGCTCATCATGGTTGGCAAAGATGCGCAAGTTTTCTGGTTCATATCTATAGCATGGCCGCATACGAGTCGGCAGGCTTGGAGACGTCAACAAGGGAAGACGAGCGTCGCACCCCTCCTGGCACCGTTCCTCGACAAACGCGTCTCCAGCAAGGTCACCTTCATGGAGATATACGACCGCACAAGTTCGTTCACGTTCGTTCCGCTCGAAGAATCTTTCCAGAACCAATGGTCAGCAGGCCGTTTTGCATGTATAGGAGACGCTGTGAACAAGGTAGGCAACCGTACTCAGCCGTACCAAAAGCCCTCAAGGGAACTGACATTTGGTAGACGACTCCCAACATAGGCCAAGGAGCAAACTGTGCCATAGAGACGGCTGCTTCCGTGGGAAATTGCATCGTGCTAGCCAGCAAAACCGATGCACCCTGGACGGAAGCCTACCTGGAGTCACAATTGCAGACTTGGGAGAACAAGTACAGAGGCAGAATGAGGCTGTTCTCGTGGGTGTCGCAGTCAGTCGCACGCGTAGAGGCAGGTGGTAATTGGTGGCTAAGACTCCTTCGATCTTACTTCAGTTACCACCATTCCGCAATGGGGATTGCGCTTCTCGGTGATCTAACACCACAGACTGCACAAGTACAGCATCTCCCTTTACCTTCGCGTCGACCAGCTGCTCCAAAGAGTCGGAGTGATCCGCAGGAGAGGAATTGGAGTGTGCAGCTCTCAGGAGTGCCTGTTGTGTCAACCATGATTGTGGCATTGCTGTTCATTGTCCAGTCGCTCACGAGACCGAAGGACGGTGGAGTTAATTAGCTGGCTTGGCCAGAGCCATGGCTCTAATAAAACAGGACCTGAACTCGCATCAGGGAAATTTTTTGCGCGATATGATTTCCGATGGGGGCGATATAAGAGCTGAAGCCGTACTGTTTTGAGGCGGCATGAAGCGAAAAGAGATTTGGGTCGCTTCCCGTTCCGCCAGTTGAGCCCACTTGCGGGATTTACCAAAGCCACTGATCTCAGTCTCGATCCAGCATCAGGTCCAAGCTGCTTTGATGACTGGTTCGGATTAACCCCTCAACCTCGCACTCCGCATGTGGTATCGATGACAATCTACTGAGCTATGCAAAAAATCTCGCATGGCAGCCGCATAGCAGCAAGAGCATGGTTGACACATGACAGAATGTGACCCCAAGTATAAAGAGCAACCAAAGCACAACACGTTTTTGACCGTGCTACTCTCCTTCAGCCTTCTCTCTTTCATCTACATCTTTGTTGCCTGCTTTCCTCAGAGGCTCTCTATCCTCTAGTGCAACATGGCGCAACAACGACCCAGCTCGCCAAAAGCAGAGGCAACCCGCCTGCGCTGGCAGGAGGTAGACGAAGAGACTGGTCTCCAGCCCAAGAAACCGCTTCCAGAGCTCTCGAGAACCATGTCAACCATGTCAAATAACTCTCAGATGTCTGTGCGAAGTCGTAACCGGAGGGCAACCGTTGACCCTTCACTCTCATTGCCAATTCATTACCGCACTGTGTGAGTGCTTTCTCTTGATGAATCCTGCAAGCATGATTCCAGCAGAGAAACTAACAACGCCCTTGCAGCTCCTTTGACATCGATGAAGCAAGAGAAAAAGAACTTGCTGAGACTGCTAAAACGAAGAATAATGTCGTGACAGGTAGACACCTTCAACTTGGAACTTGTTCTCTCGCG